GACTAGGGTTATCACATTGGTAGGCTATGGAAGATTTCAATTTCAAATTGGATCAAGGAGAGCCTACAATCATTTCTCAAGCAAAGCTACCCTTAGAATTTTGCCTAGAAAAATACTCGGGGCAAGTTCTAGACTATTGGCACGGGAACATGGACTTGCAATTCAATACCTCACCTCTCATACTGCTAGATTGCTAAAGAGAACGGAGTCGAGGGCCCACAACAACCCTAGCTATGATTGGGAATCACAAATGGCTCGACTGAACCACTCGATGACTGTTTGAGTCAACACAAGAGTCTAAGGTCACAACTAGAGCTATTGTATGCCAACAACTTTGATTTTAACCATAAGGTCAGAGGTAAATGTGTTGGTACCAAGTGAAACATGCTCGAGACACTTTTATTCATTACTATTATATATTATATTTTGTCAAAACATAAAAGAAAACGGACTCAATCCCTTAAGAAGGTTGTCACGCCATCCATCGTTGGGAAGAGCCACCCGGTTCACACAAAATTCACCTTTGGAAAGAACCGTGGCATTAAGAAAACCAAAGGCTTATTTTTCACTCAAAACGTAAAAAGAAGCTAAAAATTTAAAAAGAAGACCCTAAAGTAAATAAGAAGTTATACTACTAAGGAAAAGCAAACTAAAGAAGCTATGAAGTAAACTACGAGAAGCGAGATAAATGAATAAACAAATCGAAGTCAAATGAATATATACATAAGGGAAATGAATATCTACATCAAATGGGGAGAATATATACATACCAAAGGGAAAATAAGAATGAAAGAAAAATAGTATCAGAGTTATTACATGCCAAATGTCAAATGTCAGTTAATCAAAATAGACCACCCCCCAAATGAAAAATAAGCATTGTCCCCAATGCTTAACAAAAATAGGAACAGGGAAGGGGTAGAGAGTCAAGAGAACTCCCTATGTGGTCTCAGTCTGCATGGGATCATCAACACCTTCTGTCTCCTCTAACTGTATGTCATCATCTCCTGGCTGAGGGACAACTGGGTTGCTGAGTATCTGTATCATCTCCTCAGCAGTGTGTGCAGTCGCAACCGGCTCCTCAGACTGGCCGGCTGCTGCCTCTGGTGCTAGGACTGTCTGCTCCATAAGCAAGTCCAATGGAAGATCTCCGTCAGATGCAATCTTTGCAACCTCTTTTCTCAACTTCTCTACCGACTTCTTTGATGCCTGAGATCTATGCATCTTCTTGACCTATTTGCCCAAATCCTTAATGACCTTCTCATGCGTTGCTAGAGTATCAATAATGTTCTTTTGGTTCTCCAGAATCTTTTTCAATGTTTCCTCTACTGACGGAGGTACCTGTGGCTCTGTTGGGGCTGAGGACTGTGCTGCAACAGCACTAGATATAGCAGTCAGATTTGTAGTAGCTGCCTGCATCTAGTTGTTGAGACTCGCCAATGTCTCGGAGACTCCCAGCGCAGTCTAAGGATATGTAGATGAAGCCGGCACTGATAATGGCACTGATAGTCTAGCAGAAGCAGGTGGTCCGGAAGATGAAGGTGGCATGGCTGCTGTCCCGGTAGAAGTACCGGTTGCGGTGGATGGCTCGGCAGCTGAATCAGTAACCACTACCGTTGGCTCCTCAGACTGGCCAGTGGAGATAGTAGCTTTACCCTTGAATTTCGGGTTGTCAGCTCCCTGAAGTTGGTACCAAGAGAAAGGCTTCTTGGCCTTCACCTCGATGTCATAATGCCTTGGCTCCACCCCATTGGTCCCTGAAGTACTCTTTGAGGAAGTTCGGGTACGGGTAGGACCTTTTATCTTTTTGGACAGCCAGAGTGATATTTGTGGACATGATAACATCCACATTAATCTGGTACCCAACCAAAATTGAGGCTACCAAGACTGCACGGGGAATGGGAAGATTGTTCTCATTGAGGAATAGATCAATACGGATACATACAAATGTTTGCCACCCTTTTGCTTCAAAGTTTAGGGTGGCTCGGACTATTGGAACTCCTGCTGTGAGCCACGGAGGTGTTGACCCTCGAATTGCTAGAATATCAGCTAGCCATGGGCGAACTGCGTCACCCATAGTTAGCTTCTCCAGGTATTGGACTCCCTCTGCTTCCTCAAACCCCACATATGTGTTCAAGGTGCAGGCATCAAACTTGATTTTCAAATTTCGAACTTTTGTCACCTTGGTACCCTTTTTGATATGAGCTACATTGGTGTAGAATTCCTTGACCAAATGCTCATTGGCATCCATAATGCGGTGGGTGAACCATTTCTAACATTTTCACTCCCGGAATTATCGGAGGACATTGGGGGTTGTGCTTGTCTAGATCTTTCATCAAGAACTGTCGCTCAAGAGTGAGTGACCGTTGCGGCCACCATTCCCTAAATTTAGCAAAGGTAGTAGCACTGACGAATCTATCCTCCCATATCTCTGGTTTCTTTGATCTCCCCAAACCTCCTACTGTAGTATCCTCCCCTCTCCCATCGTCTGGGACATCATCATTGTCCATATTAATTAGATCAGCTGGAGCATGTGAGGAAGAGGGCTCAGAAGCTTGACTACCCTCTTCCGAACCATCAGAGGAACTAGCAGAAGAAGACGACTCATCTACTAGGTGGAATCTACCAGGAAACTATTGTGATTGGGATTCCGTCTGTGATTTCACAGAGTTACCCTCAGAAGCTTCCCCATATGGGACATACTCACTGATTTCCGAGGGATGGGGAGGTCTGTTGGTTGTAGCTTTCTTACTTATAACCCTTTGAAGTGTTAGAGGTAGGTTGCTTTTACCTCGACCTCGGCCTCGGGAGGGTTCTTCCCTCCCTTGCGATGTATCTCTTGTACCACGTGAGCGAACCACTATCTGCAATGCATAAGGATAAGAGTCAGTTAGATTTGTAAACCACAGGTGCATACATAACAACTGAAGTAAAGCAGTCTCAGAAGGGGTAGTGCGGCTGCAAACTGCCCAGTGCGGACCGCATAAAAGTGAGTGCGACTGCATAACTAAAAGTACGGACTGCACAATTTTGAGTGCGGCCGCACAGCCCCAGGTTCAGACTACTAGGGTCTCTAATGTTTCATCAGTGCGGACCGCACAAAAATGAGTGCGGCCGCACAAGTCCACTGCGACGAAACCAAGATGGCGGTAATCTCTTTTCTCCACTATTCCCTCATGATTTTACTAGAATCTATGGATTACTTTGAGTGCTTAGTGGTCGTTTGGTTCACGGGATAAGGTGGGATAAAGTGGTATAGAATTTGGGATTAAATTTATCCCATGTTTATTTTGAGGTAGGAGTATTAATTAAACCCGGTATAAAATTATACCACAAATTGAGATTAAATTATCCCATCTCCAAAAGTGGGATAACTAATACGGATTAGTTATGGGATAAAGTTATGAAATGACCAGGTTATCCTTCTTCGCTTTTCACTGCAACCTTTTTGAGGCTTAATCAGATTATGCATTTTTTAGGACTTGATTTCCGTACGTTGAGGCTTCTCTTTGTCATTCTAATATGCACTGCTATCATCTTGATTCTAATTTACATGTGTGTAGTGAACGATTTTCTAAGCCACTAAAATATTGAAAGTTAAAATTGAAAACAAAAATTTATCAGTTTTAAAACAAACACATATTTTGGTATATATTGTATATCCCATTTTTTATCGAATGTATCAAACGAAGTATATAGCACTAAATAGTCCCGGTATTATTAATCCCCGGATAACCTTGTCCACTTACCAAACGATCCCTTAAGGTTAAATAGCATTGATACATAAGTAAGTTATCCTTATGTTGCCTAGGAACTATAGCTTTGACCGGCGACTGCTTCGTTATGGTTGACTCCCTCCTTGGGCTCCTGGCCCTCAAAATAATATTCCAAAGTTGTTTAACTTTTAAAATCTTGACAACCAAAACAATTTCGTGAGTTTGGTGCTTCTCTAGTCTAACATCCTTATAGTTATAGTAACTAATCTAGTTCACATACATTTCAATCATAAGATTCAATTTTTTTAATCTTCGAGAATTTCGGATTCTCCATAAGCGTCTCAGGATAATCGGCGCCGATGCCAAATGTTGGAAATTCAAGGAAGAACATTCCCAAATTGGATTTGATCCTAGCACCTCTCTCACACTTTGAACCCACTTAACCACCTCCACTAGGAGCATATTTGTGTTAAAACAGGTTCAAACGTTTTTTTTTTATAGTAGTAATTTTCCTCCGTTAAACGTAATATATCAATATACGCAGTATAATTTTTCGACGAAGCGGGCTCAACTGAACCCTGACACCATGTGGGTCCGCCCCTGATTGCTTTGTATTTTGGCTTTCACCAATCTTAGACTATTAATAATATAGTCAAATTCCAATTTCCCTCTAAAACATTTTTCAAAATATTCAAACTATATAAGACAAAAAGTGCTTTTAAACACTTTTCCTTTCTTTAGTTTTCCAATGAAGACAAAACAACCTCTTCTCAAATACTCCCGGCAAACACTAACTAATCTAACAATTTTCACCTTCTACTCCATTTTGAAACCCTGACACGGTTCCTTTGAGTTGTTCATTCATGATAGTCCTTTGTAGTTGTGCTCAGTGGAAATCTCTCTCTCCGAAGAATTGATATTTTCAGCTATGAAACGAATCATAACTTCCTCAAGTTTTGCCACCTCTTGCCAGGGGCGAATTTAGGGACGGAAGGGTTCACCCGAATCCCATTCACCGAAAAATTACATTATATATATAAGACAAAATTTAATTTTTACCTCTATATATTATGTTTTGATTCCCTTTGACACAACCCAAAAGCATGACTTAGTGGTCAAGATAGTTTAAAACTTTTGTAAGGTCATTGGTTAACTACAATCTTTTTTAACTTTTTTCTTTTTTGAACCCTTTAGCGAAATTCCTGCCGAAAACGTTCAGCATTTCCAGCAAACTTGCAATAGGTAAAGTATCCCAGTGTCATTCCCTTAAATTTGCTCTTCCGCATTTGCACTTGACACACTTGACATATTACCGTTAACTATTTGCAGGTGTCTCAGTTAGTATCATAGGGATGATCCTACTATCAGTTTCAGCGATCTATTACCTCAGAAGTCGACGGTCGAATTGTAAGCCACTGATTTGCTGGAAGAGCGAATCAGAAGATCATAAAATTGAAGAATTCATGAGAAGCTACGGATCTCATGCTCCAAAGTTGTACAACTATTTGGATTTAAAGAAAATAACAAATTCATTCAGCCACAAAATAGGACAGGGAGGCTTTGGTCAAGTATACAAAGGAGAGCTACCCGATGGTCGAGCGGTAGCTGTAAAGGTGCTGACAGAAACTAATGGTGACGGAGAAGAATACATAAATGAAGTTGCCAGTATAAGTAGAACTTCCCATGTTAACATAGTAGGGCTTTTGGGATTTTGTTACCAAAGGAATAAGAGAGCCTTAATCTATGAATATGTGTCCAATGGTTCATTGGATAAATTCCTCAACAATGGACCATCTGGCACAACTTGTCCCTTGGAATGGACAACATTGTACAGGATTGCAGTTGGCATTGCTCGAGGTTTGGAATATTTACATCGAGGTTGTAACACAAGAATAGTGCACTTTGACATAAAACCTCATAACATTCTTTTGGACCAGGATTTCTGCCCTAAAATATCTGATTTTGGCCTTTCTAAATTGTGTGAGAGAAAGGAGAGTATCCTATCAATGTTGGGTGCCAGGGGAACGGTTGGATATATTGCTCCAGAAGTGTGCTCTAGAGCGTTTGGAAATGTCTCTCATAAATCAGATGTTTATAGCTACGGAATGCTGGTTCTTGAGATGGTTGGAGTGAGAAACAATGTTAAAGTGAGCCAAACTAGTGAAGTATACTTTCCAGATTGGATCTACGAACATCTCGATCTGGGGAAGGACCTAGGTCTAGAAGGTATTATGAACGGAGCAGATGAAGAAATGGCAAGGAAGATGATGTTAGTTGGCTTGTGGTGCATTCAGATTAAGCCGTCAGATCGACCAGCAATTGAGAAGGCAGCAGAAATGCTGGAGGGAAGCCTTCACTCCCTACAAATTCCACCACAACCTGTCTTATTTTCTTCAACAAATTCCATCCCAGAGTCGTTTGCCTCCACATCCACATCCACAACAGCCTATGGAAAGGAGGCTTCAGTTCTGGAGCCAAATATCCCTTTCGAGTAAAAAAGGTTGATGCAAGCTTGTTATATTTTACTCTACTCAAATTAAAGTAATTGAGAAAGGAAGCGGGATATCTGGTTCCCTGAATCAGAAAACTAGCTTCAATGCATTGATAAAGTTATTGCCAACTTTCACCAAACAAAGAGGACATAAACTTCACTATAGTTAATCTAGTGTCATACAATGCATGTGAAAAGGTAATGATGCCTAAGGTTGGTATCCAAATTATATGTACCGTCGAGCAGCCACAACCTGACCACACATTTCCCACTAAATTACACTAACACCTATATCGTTGTCTTGTGGAAAATGAAGGGTAAATCCATAGGTGCACTACGGCCTGGATTGATAATCACCAAATAACAATGAATCCTCCCCGTAACACTTGTTGGGATTTTAAGCTTGTGTAGCTTAAAGAAGGTGAATGAGAAATGGAGGAAAAATGAAATATTTGAGTTTCCCTTGGGAAAGGGACATTGTCCCATATCGAAGAAAGAAAAGGCTTTTGATAGGTATATATATAATTGTTCTTCTTCTAGCTCTTAAAGAGTTAAGAAAAAAGGCAAGCCTCGCGCCGTCGTCGTCGCTCGCTCGGCTCGGATCCGGATTCGGATTATTCAGTCAACGATTGATTGATTAATCTTTTTGGACAAAATTCCTTTCAATTATTTAATTAATTAATTAAATAATTAACGAAAAATTCAATCCGGAATAAGACCCGCGACCCCCCGTTTTCTTTCCCGGATTATTTTAAATATATTTTTTCCCGCAATATTTCAAACACCCCTTTTCCAACAGCCATGGTTGTTTCTGAAAGGTTGCAAACCTTTTCAGAAACAATGCCAGCAACTCTATAAATATAGTTTGAATCCCAGAATCTTTCCTAACGAAATTTTCTGAGCTTCTTCTTCTTCTTCTTCTGCACAATATTTTCCAGTGTGTTTTACGACCATTGAGTGGTTCGCAGTTCATCAGAGTTTTGGTACCAATACACTGGTGAGTTAAATCGTTCTATCCTGGGAGGATATATTCCAGCACCTCGGGTATTGAGGGGAATAATTTCCTTAAGGACACACTGTGTATTCAGTGGGCTCGATTTATTCCTATTCTGTTTTTTGTTTTCCAGAATCTATTTCGTTAAACAAGTATTACTAACTTTCTGTTTTGTTTTTTCAGAAAGTTTAATTGTTTATTACAGCAATACAGAATAATAACAACACTTATCTCATCTTGCATCGCAGCCACCTTTTGTTGCAGTGTGGGCTTGCCACTTATTGAATAAGCTGAGTAACTAACTTTAAAAGTCAATGTGTGGTACGAACAGGACCTTACAATTCAATCTGCCATTCAGTAGGAAAATAAGAGACATGTCTGTAGTAGTTGAAACATGGAATTGGCACAATATCATGCAGTTGCTGCGAGAGGCGGCAGAGTGTCCTTAAAGAAACAGCAAAGCAATTAATTTTACTGAATCCGTGCTGTATGGAACAAATCTCTATCTTACATTCATCTTCTCCCTCCTCCAAATGCTGTTTTATTGTTTTCGAGTATAGAGGTCGGCCTACCTAGTGCTTCAATAGATATTTTCCTGTACTACAGGTCATGGGAGTGAGGTCTGAGTTCTGGAAGTAAAGCAAAACAATCTTAAACCTTACCAGATCATGCAACAAGTAGCAGAAAAGATTGACCATGCTGTAATGTTAGCAATGTTACTCTGTCAATCCAATGCTCTTCTGCAAGTCCACCATCATCCTGTCACACAAGACACAGATAAGTGAACTACACATTGGTTGAGAATTCCAATGAATTTGATCGTCCCAGTTATGCAAATATGAAAAACCATTCAGAACAATAAAATCCAAATTGAAGCACCGATGAGAGTAACAGGAAAAGACAGCAAGAGAAATGATGGATATATTTATTAAATGACAATCCTAACCTGGAAAAGGGTAAAGGAGTAGAAAGTAATGAATTCTTGAATCTCTGGAGATTCTTTCGACACCCTGTAACATTGCAGGCCAAAATGGTCCTACAGTGGTATTTTACAGAAATCTCACACTGCGAGCATCAAAACTTCCTAAGCCATTCCTGTGGAAGGATATATCAACTCTCCCCTTTGTTAAGAAGGTGCAGTACTTGGCATCTTATCATTTACTTGCATTATTTAACGCATGGTGCGAGGATATGTAGTATATCTGCTTTAAAACTTGGATCTTCCGCTCATTTTTGGGATTCTAAAGCCACTTATGGTATTGACCTCAGACTCCGAGTAAAAAATGTTGGACGCTTAACTGCTAAAACTCAAAAATGATACCTTAACCTCATCAAAGGCATAAAATTTAGTAGACCAACACCTCTTCAAGTCTAGATTGGATTTTGCATTCTCACTGTCTCCTATTCCAACCTAGTTCACAGAACTGAAAAGTTACTAAAACATAATAACTCAGGTGGTGCTTAGTGTAAACTTGTCCTAACTGGAACATAATTTTGAAGTTCAAACCTCTATATTTCAGACAGGATTTTCCAATCCAAAATTAATCTGAAACAATATGAGGCAGCTTCACCTCTTACTTTAACCAAACAAAGGAAAGAAAAAAATCAATCGGATGCAAACTATATATTGCAAGGTTTAGCCAGAATGAATTGGGTCATTGACAGCCACAGGCAAATCCGTATGTCTTGCTTATGAGTGGAAGGAACAATGATGCATGACTAAATCATTTTCTTTCAAGAAAGTTTGGTATTGATTTGAAATGTCAACAAGTCAATAAATTTGAGTGCTGCAAACCGTCTAGAATTGAAGTAAAACAACAGCTAAAATTTCTGGATAACAGACAGCATATCTTTATAGGTAACTGAGAATAAAATACCTGAAACTCTGCTGTCTCATCAAGGAGAATCACGTAGTTGAATGCTTCCACAAGTTGCACAGTTATCCCAAAAGTGAAATCCCAAGACGCATCTCAAAATTTAACAAGTTTAAGGTCATTAATCAAGGGCTCAAAGCAATAGTCCTTATTTCCCCATAATACTCAGCTAGCCAATGGGTGAACTCTCTTCGTGCTGATGCATGTAGACCATGTCAAGATAAAGATCAAGATCAAGAGTAGTTATGCACCACTACCTTTTAGATCTTCCCCCATTTGACCAATCTTTACTGTATATTCTACCTGTAAAAGACAATTATCCATCAAATTTCAGCTAAGAGAACTGAATAGGATTCACTTGAGATACCATTTCAAAGCCAAAGCTAATAGTCATGAGGTAAGTTAAGACATGAAAGGCAAAGCCCATCAGTTGGTATGTAGACAAAGAGGAACTTCAACAGTGAGACAGAAATTACCAACTTGCACTTAAGATCAGAGATTGCCTGCTCCGTTTGATTTGCATAAAACTTCAATGACTGACAAAGAACAAAATAAATCTTAGATCCAGGAATTATAAGAACTGAGGACCAAATAAACTAGCCATAAGACACAGAAGACTCACTCCAAGTCTCTGCATTTCAAGGGACCGACTTAAAGCTAGTCTTTTGTTTAAAAGATTTTGCGGCACCAATTCCGGGCGCCTGTAGTTCTTTCCCCGATAAATTATTATAGCATGGCCTTCTTTAAGTTTGTCTACAGAAACCAGAATTCCACCACTTTCTGCCTCCAGGAGATTTGCAGTATGAATGACCTGAGAAAAGATTTTCTGCATTGTGATCACCTTAACAACTTCTCTGTGCTTCCAATGCTGATGGAGACCTGCTAATACACCATCAAAAACACCGCGTCTCCCTGAAGTCAAATTGAAAAAGTAGATTTGAGCTGACCAAGTGTTCAAGACAGTTTTATCATAGGAGGACCAGAATTGCAACAATTCTCAATAATTAAAGATCCTAAAATTTTGAGCGATTAGAAGTTATCAGATAAAGGCGTTATTGTTGAGTATTGTAATGAAATGGACCCAAATAAAAACGAATGGATATGGAGGATCCATATAGTAGTCCCAACTAGTTTGGGGGTTGAGGCATTCTTGTCGAGCACATGAATGATAATGCATTTTTTTATGCAAGCCCAACTAGGGAATATGAAAAATAATAGCTAACTCTTTTTTTATGGAACTATCTAAGATGTGTAACCATAGCAGAAATTTCAGAATCCTGGTAGATAATGGACAATTTATCTGTAGATGACTATGGAATTTTCAATAGCAACTCAGCTACAGCTTTCATAGTTTGACCACGAAATGATAAGAGAGGATAATATAGCAAAAGTCTGCTCACCAAGCACTAAACTCCTGTCCATCTTCAATCCTATCTGCCTAAGAGATCGTCTCTCTTCTTGTGTTAAAATTTCTTTATCGACATCTGGTTTGGCAGGTCTCCATGCAGCATCTAACTTTCCCAATGCTATAGATGATTTTTCAATCTTCTTCTTGAGCTGCACGATTGAGTAAGAAAGCATCTTTCATTTGCTGCTGAAAACATTGAAAGTGGAAAAAAGAATAGCTGATATCTTACAATGTAAAGGCTGTGCTGTTCATCTCTCAGTTCTTTTTCTAATCTTTCTTTTTCTGCTACTAATTGAACTTCAGTCTCAGATTTCTCCCTTCCAGGTTCTGCAATTGTCTGGAATTCTGATAAAGTCCCAACATTACTAATGCTCATTGATTCTCCAGTAGTGATTGGAAGGGTTTCAATTGCTTTGAATCGTGCAGCTTCTTCCTCAAGCTGACATCTTCTGAGTTCCACTTCCCTCTCAGCTACAAGGCTTGCAACTTGAGAAGGAAGAAAATCCTTACCTCTGTATAGGATTATAAAGAACTTATTCCGCAATAAAAGAACTCCTCCAGTAAGATACTACATAAAAAATTTGAGCATTTTATCAGAATCTGAAAGACAAAGCCGGTGATCTATACTCAATGTGCCCAACATTTTCTTTCTTTTTTCTACCACTGCTTAGAAGAAGGCCGCCATGGCACTATGGAGATTTTGTAGCTAGAAAACGAGGCGAGAATAGAGGAAAAGATAGTCAACAATGCATAGACTAAAAAAAAAAACTTCAGTCAATTCAGTAATAATGGAGCACTTTCAAGTAACAACTTCCAGGAAAGAGGTCTGCATTGGAATCAATTCTTTTAATTGATTAAAATAGTCAGGCTCCTCAAAGATTTTCCAAGAGTTTTAAGTTATACCAATGATGACATCATATCAGTCCAGAGAAACCAAAACCCAACACCAGAAACCGCCAGCCAAAAATTCAAGTGTTGCTTTCATCACTACCAACTTCCAACACCAACCTCTGTCGCCTGAACCACAGTTCCACTGAATACCACCTAGACCACGTTCGCTTTTTCCAGTTGCTGAAGTGTTTTCAAGACCAAAAAATTGTTTACAATGCCACACTCCAAACACCCTTAATCACAATGAAAGTGTTTTTGCTGAAACATTCACCACCAAGCTTCCTAAGCTCAACTCTGGGACCAGTGCCCTGACATATTCACCAACAAAGCTTCAAAATCATCTATTACCTAGCTGCTTAAGTCCTCCTCTGTATTTTGCAATTTTGATAGCTAAGTCAATCCTAAAAATGAGAATCGTTCAGACAACATCTGAAAATAGTTTTCTAAAATACTAGTAGAAAGTTCGAGGTGTGTTTTAATAGTTGTAGTATTTTTAAAAGACTTTTGTTGAAGTGAGTGTTTTGTAAGTAGAAAATTGTTTCTCGAACAAGTTCTTTGAAATATACTCTCAAACCACAATTTCAAAAATTTGTTCTTGGAAAAATTATTTTACAAAAACTTCTTCGTAAAACTTAACAAACACGAATTTGAAATAAAATAATTGCATGTTCATAAAAAATTTCATTGACAAGTGCCACCTAAATTTTAATCCATTAAATATATACTAGCTAAATTTGATTATTTTTATTTTTATGTTTTGATAACAGTGGTGTCCGGGCAAGCTTGTGCGTGCCTCGACTATCCTTCGAGTATCTATTAGCTCCCACTAGCACAAGTACCGGATAACTCTGTTCACCAAGGGTTAGGCAGATGGCAGATGGGAAGAAATCATCTAGCATCTTTTGCCTCCGCTGGGATTTGAACCCTAGTCTCCAATGCTTTCACGCAGTTTATTGGCCGCTATGTCACACCCTTGGTACACTAGCTAAACTTGATCATTATGTATGAATAAGAAGAATTGAGAACATAGAAGGATGCAAATGGGTATTGAAAGTAAGCAACTTTAAAATTGAAAAACTTCAAGCCTCGCCAAACCCTGTGCTACCCTACTTCCATCCCAAATTTCATAGAGAACCAAAATAGTCGTTCAAACTGAAGATGAGTAACAATTTTTTTTTTTTTTTTTTTGAGCAACTAGTTGTTCTACTATTACTAAAATACTAATCCTCAAGACAAGATAATTACATGAAACAGAGGGCAGTTAACAGCTCCTCTCCTCCCATTTTCTACTCTACTAAGATGCCTAGAAACATAGCTGATGTCATGTAACAATAAAACAAGCTTGCTAATATAAGAACTAATAGAACAGACTCATCTGTTGGTCCAGAAGTTGACTGCGATTGACTGAGAAACTATAAGGATGTTAAGTACGAATTGTTCCGACAACTTACCTTCAGCTCATTTGCCATTAGCTCATTGTTAGTATTTGGAATTCCCCACTTCAAAGCTATCTTTGCAATATGACATTTCTCCCACAATTTTATGATGGCTGCAGCCAAGCCTTGCAGTTTTCTGTTTCTCCCTTCATATCGTGTCATGGAAAAGTAATTACAATCTCAAACAGGACAAACATAGGCAAGTGTTGCACAAGGCGCATAACCTATTGCAACAAAGTGCTCAAAACTTAAAAATCATCCACGATCCAAAATGCCAAATAAGTACAATTAGTTGATTTCTTATCCATGTGTAGCAAAGACCTAGCAACAGTTGAGAGTGCACTTGTATAATGTTCTAGAGACAAGAGGGGAAAGGTGACTTCTGACTTGCTTTCTCTTTAACCTTAAGAGGTTCAAAATGAAGACTCTTTTGATAAATTTATCTATTATCTCCATGCAAATTTAATCATTTTGCTTCCTAGGGTCAATTTGACCAGATTTTGGGGAAAAAACACAAGTTCAGGAAATAGAAATAAAACTAGGAATTACGTTAAAACAATCTCAAGTCACAAACTCTTACATTGAGAATATTTAAAAATCAATATTTCAACAATCTTAGGCAAATGATTCTTTTGACCCTCACATGCAGAAGTGACAATTCTATAGCGATAAAAGGAGTACCTTACAAAAAAAGGCACCACATACAAAATAAATTTAAAACCTGTGACTGACAAACACCGTCAAAATTCTGAGTCAAATATCATGTTTCGTTATCGAAAGCCTTTCGAAATTAATTTAGACATTACATATCCACTTTTAAATGTCTAGACAGTCAAACTGGAAGAAGCATATACCATTGCTAATGCACCACTAGCAATTTTTCTCGCTTGATATAATCATATAATGGCATAAACATCACACATACCAAACGCCATACAACAAGCAAACTACAATTATAAAACAGGAAAATTGTCAATGATAAAGATAACTCGAGTCCAAGAAATCAGTAGAGAGACAGTATAGCAATCCACGACATACACAAGCAGCAAACATATGAAGAATAAAATTCATGGAGCAATTCATCTGCACAAGATATGCATCATCAAGAACCAGAAACTTACCGAGGACAAAATGAGTTGGCAAAGAACGAGCAAGCTTCCTTAAGTGTGTAAGTTCATCATCAGTCAGCTTTGATCTTGAACGTGGTGGGCAAAGTCTAAATGGTGGCTTAAATCCAGGAACCACTTCAGGAAGCAAATCTGCATCCACAGGTAAAGGCTTTGGCCACCACCAATCAACATAACGAGGTCCTAAGTCATCCAATAATCTATTAGCTTCCCTCTCATAGAGTGACTCATTTATTGTTAGGCTATCCTCTTCTGAGCTTTCACCACTTATCACATCTACACTGCTCCTACTTGAGTTCGACGACGAGAAAGCACTTGTCTTTTTAAAGGTGTAAGTAGATGAATTGTTTTGTTGACTACGGAGAAAATCATGATGCCGTTTGGGGTCATCCTTCTGTCTCAAAGTATAATCACATCCTCTATAAACAACCAGAGCATTTTTCTTCCTCCAAACTACAAAGCCTCCAGTCTTCATCTGCAGTACAAAAAGAATCACACACAATTCTATCAAAAAGGACAGAAGATTAACAAAGCAACCTCTTCATTATTGAGCAAAAACTTCTAGAAGCCATGTTTGTATTCATTAGCAACTATGAGGAATGGTTTGAGGATTCACACTTATGACCCAGTGACAGAACAACTCATAAGAAGTTGAATACAAAAGAAGAAATATTTCGATCAATCAAATACCTACTCATCCTTTTGAAGTTTGAGCTGAAGCTGAAATTAAGTCATTACAAATAACAAGTATCTGTGCAAGCTCTTTTCACCCTATGAAGCATCAATTATAGAAAGCTTATTTACGGACATATAACAGTATATAAGACAGTGTTTATAGACCAACCTCAATAATTTCTTGAGCTCTGTCCATATTACGACATAAAGGCAGGTCAAATTTGAGCATTGCAAGTTCATTATTCTTCCAAAGCAAGTGGATTTGGTCAACAACAGCTCGTGTCACTCCTGCTTTCTTAACCTTCACCCACTTCTGAATCTTTACAGCCTCACCCCTCAATCTCTCAAGCAACATTGCATCAAGTTTCAACTCAGCAGCTGTTAAAACTTTCTCCTTCTTCATTCTCCTATACACAAATCTTTCCTCACTCTCCCATGGCATTTTCTCTCCACTTCGTCTATTCCCTCTTCCTTCATTCTCTCTTGATAAAATATCAAATTCCACTCTTTCCACTTTGTCCTTTTTCACATATGGAGTTTGTTCATTAAAATCAAAGTTCACATCTTTCCAATGAGTTAAAGAACCAGGTGGGAACTGAAATTCAAACTTAGCATCAGTTTCCACATGTGTAAATTCCAAATTTTGTGTTTCTTGGAGCTTATCAATGCTTTGATAAATCTTCTTCATTGCCTTTTTACCTCTTCCTCCACTAACTTTACCAGAAAGTGCATCACTAGGATTTTGGGTTTTAGCAAAGTTGGCATCTTTCTTCTTTCTTGATTTGGATAAGTCCAAAACTTGATTGGGTTCAACAAGAAGAGGACCCCTCATCCATGGAGCAGTAGGGCCTTTAATTCCGAACTTGAACGTGAAATAGGGTTTGATGTTGACCCATAATCTTGATTTTCAAATTCAAGATTGCATTGCTCCAAGTTTTTGCTGGAATGATTATTATCATTGGGTTTGAAGGAAAAGGTGGTAATTTTAAAATTGAATGATTTGAAAGGAAGAACTGTTTTGGGTTTGATGACAAAATTGGAATGGGGACAGAGGGTCAGTGTATTAGAATTGGGAACTAGAAATGAAGTAGCAGACATGGATATGTTGATAAGAAGTTGCTAGCTCTTGCAGTTAGTTTCCTTTTTCTCAGTTCCAAAGTACTCTGCAATCCTTACCGAGGAATTTCACTTTATACAGAGATGATGTCAAATAAAATCATAAGTAAAATTTTCTCACCACACGTATCACACTTTCTTTACATTTTGTAAGAATACTGATATCATTTTATAGTATTGTTCTTACAATATTTGCGAATTTAAATTATTAACTTTTCTATTTTTGATACTTTGAATAATTAACTTTTTGGCCTAATATTTCACTACGTCCACTATTATTCACAATACAACTTATATTTTAAAATTAATGTAATCAAATATCAGTCATATAAAATTGGACGAAAAGCTTCATTTATTTGAATAATCAGAATTACTATACTTTTGTTTGATATATGCAATATATTGTTTACTAACATTTCTCACAAATTAAAGCAATTTTAAGAGAGTTGTGTTAAAATTGTAGGAATCCTTCTGTCTTTCTTATCGTAGTTGGCTGTTAATGCTCTCAAAATTACGATTATAAGAGGTTTCTCAAATGAATGATATATTCTTCTCATCAAGTCTCAACCACATACTAAATATTCTTTGCAGTAAATTCTCAAGCAAAAAAATGAAGTTACATTCAAGCAGAGTCACCAACCAGAACCTAGAAACCAGCATATTATTTACATATAATTTAGTTTTAACTCATATAACAAATTGGATATTTGCCCAACATAGCATGGTAACACGTTATATTCATGTGAAACATTTGGCTTTCGTTAGTTAATTACTACATTGTATATTTCTATAATTTTGTAATTCAATAATTACGTGGTCATAACAACTCCAATTAACTGTCAGTCCTGTCTTGCTGTCTTGCATCCTTGTTGATTACACATCAATAATAGAATGAGAAAAATGGGCCAGTTTATTTGACAACCAAGCGAAATGTGCGACAAACTATCACATCAACAGTGCACGTTGTATAATCATAGCACAAACATATAACTTCACAGCACAAACATTTAACTAAAAATTAATTATTCTCCAATAAGCTTATGTGCTCCACGTAGTGTTTGTAGAAATCACAATGAGTTATCACAAGTTCACAACCAACATATGGACCATCAAAAACTGTGACATAGATTAGATTGAAAGTCTCTGCCCCGCTGATTTTATTAATATAAGGGAAGAAAAGACATAGAGATCACATAATCAGCCTACAGAATTGTTTTCAGTCTACAACTCAAACTACTACAAAAAAACTTTACATCCATCAATGATGGAAATACACGAGGCAAGTTCTAACATTCCACTGGTGGCCTAACAACTTGGACAATGAACAGCAAGGAACATCCTTGGGTATCAAGTACATTACATTTTCTTTGCATCCTCTTCAACTGGATCACGAAGAGTTCCAAACATCCAATCCATCCATATTGTGTAATGACCATAATTATGGCGGTATGTCGTATGGTGAATGGTATGATAGCCAGCACCCATTACAGGAAACACCTTCCCATGTATGCAGTCATGAATATTAGCCGTCCATAAGGCTTCCAGGAAAATGAGTGCTATGTGTGTAGTGAAATGCATTGGCACCAATAATAGAGCTACAACGTGTGGCACTGCCTGCAGTATTCCATCCAATGGGTGGAATGCCAATCCTGATAGCAGAACATGTTGATTATTATGAAGCTCTCGGAAATGAACTATGACTATGGGCAGATAAACCATAAAAGAAGCTATGACATTCAGAGATCAATTTGTCACAATTTAGCAACCAATTTCCTAGAATGGATATGCATTGCAAAGAACTGAGGCTTATAAAAGGTTCAGAATGTCAGAGATAATAGATGGTTACAAAAGACAAAGCAGCGACAACTTAGTAATGTTTTACTTCCAGGGCTATGTATTTAGACTCTGAAACTCATTTAGACGGGAGGAAGAAAATCTATGGCCGAAAGCAAAAGTTTCAATTTTCATTTTGCAGAAATTCTTAGTATCCTATAGTTCTTGTTCAGGTTCTTGTGGAAAACTTGTTTGGAAGAACAAAGAGGCTCTCCATAATGCTGGATTTTTGGTTATCATTTTTAGTAACTATTTCTCTTTATCATTTTTACCAAAAGGCATAAAAAGCATACTAGCTTTCTTCACTTGCAAAAAGAAAAACAAGTGGATGTATATGGAACTATGTGTATTTATACAAGAAAAAGAGCCGAGTTTGGTGTACACAAGTGGCTGTGCATGTGAGAAGAGAGAGATAGGGAGGGTATTTTTTTCTGATGAAAAGGTAGGGAAGAGAAGATTGGGAGGAACTATGCTGCTGTGCATGGGATTAGTGGCTGTCCTGCAGAGAGGAGATAAAAGAGTGGATTGGAACATACAGTTTGCATGTTGTAGGTGTGATTCGAATGGTCAATGGCATAGTTTGTAACATACATTATTTTTCTCTTTGTGGTGGAAACGTAGGAAACACCTTTTAGCCATTTTTCAAAATGTCCAACTTTTGAGAAATTTGCTTAAATATTTTTCTCTCCTCAATCCTATCATGATTTCTAGTTTCCCACAAAATGATAAGAGAAAATAAGAACATTTTCTTGACCAAACACTACTTCGCTCTTTCAAGTAATCTGGATTTCGCACAGAGAAACATTTAAAAGGTAAGAGATGAAATTCCAATGAATTGCTTTGTTCCCATCGTCTTTATTTCATTTCAAGTATTATTCGTGAGAGACTTATAGTAGTCTTGGTAAAACGAGTCTAACCAACCACTGCAGTCAATCCTCCGACCAAGAAAGAAAAAGGTGATGACACAAGATTAGGATGTAAAAATTTACACATTAGTTTGTCCTCGGGACTAGCTTCCCAATATTATAGCCATCATACAGGAAATACAGCATTAGTTCGACAAATTATCAAGAAGTATCACAGAGAAACCTAACTGCTGCGCCAGCTACAAGCTGTTATCACAAATAAGCCACAATTATGAGATGACTAGACTTGAGAGCTTACCAGCAAATGGGGAAAGTGTATTTTGCTTGTTGTAAATATGATGTGTAGCATGGAGATATTTGTACAGAGGTTTTATGTCATGCAACTCCCTATGCATCCAGTAGATCCCAAACTCCACTATTACAAGATAAATAGCCGCATAGATAACATAGGAAAGCCATCCAACATCACTTATTCTTGCAAAACATTTTGTCCATCCATTTTCAATCATGTACTCAGAAAGTGATGGAAGGGCACAGTACCATGGCATCGCTTTCATGGCTACTGATATTTGCAAGAGCATTGCTTTGTTAGAAGGGATGGCATCTGCAATAAAATGTTAATGAGTCCATAACTTCTCCTTTTTCACTCACAGGAGAAAATATGAAGTAAGAATCAACGTTATCTTTATCGAAGCATAAGAAAAATGGAGTTGTTACATTCATCGTAAAATTGACATCCATATTTAGAACTGAAAGGACCATTAACTAAAACAAATATAAGATCGGCTTGTAAAATTCTATAACCACTGATACTAACTTGAGAAAATTAAGGAATTTGCTCTGGAACTCATAAATAGCTATCGATGCGATCTAGTTCAGATTCATAGTCATCAAAAGCAATATCACTACCTTAAAATTTGATAAAACAGAAAATTCGTCATTGTTTTTCAAGGTTATAAATAATTGATCTACATATACACAATGAAGTGTGAATGCATGCGTAGCCTACTCTCCAATACTGTAGCACGCAAAAACGACACATCACAAATTAAGGTAAAAGAAATTCAAAAACAAAAAACATAAACAGGGCAAAGAAAAAATTTTACCTTTAGGAATATATACATTGCGCTTCAAGTGATAGATGTAGAAGCACCAGAGGAAACCGGAGATAAAGTAAAGCAGAACACCACCAATGTAGTTACGGAGCCATCCCTGAAGCATGTGAGGAAGTGGTCCCCACCATGATTCCGGCATGAATGTACCCAAAACCAACCGATTGTAAAACGATGTCTCCTCCACAAACTGTTTCAAGTAATCCTCCATCTCCGACGGAAGGTGTTGGTTCGGGTCGGGTTTTACCAGATTCCGACGGCGATGATCCGCCGGAAGAGATGAAGATGCAGTATGGAGTGAGATTGAGAAAGTGGAGGAAGATGGAGAAAACAAGTGGCTGTGTAGGGCGACAACAAAAACAATGTGTTTTTCTGTGCCAGTATTTAATACAGAACCAATATTTAATACGGAATAGATTCCCTTTTGGACTTGCCCATCTGTGGAATAATGAGCTAGCTTTGACAAAGGATACTACTACGGAACAATTATTTTCATTAAATGAACTCAAAATATAAAAAAAAAACAGACTCTGCCAAAAAATTAAAGGGTGTCGGTATATACAATTATCGAGCAATACGGTGGGTTGACACCCTTTGGTTTGGTACATGTGGCTCCGGCTCTCCGCCACTGCTACTATGGAGTAATAAAATATCATAGTTTTAAATAATAATTTTTTCAGAGAGAATTTTTTATGATATTGTATTTCTTCCTATATAATCCGAAAACAAAAGAGAAATAAGGTAGGACGTAGTGAAAGTAGTATATCAATTTTTTTCAGGTTGCATAGTTAATTTCTTTAGCATAAAATTGTAAACCGATTTGGCTATATTGTACGACTATGGGTAGAGATGGCAATGCGATAAGCTAGGATAAGGTCAATTTGGTTCTACTCTTCTCTGCCCTCACCCCACTAATATTTCACATTTACATATTCTCTTTTTTTTTATAACAAAATTAAATATTTTTTGCAAGAAATACT